AGTTCTGCATGTTTTCTAGTGGTTCTTCTGTGTTTGCTTCCTCCACTGTCTCTTGCATCGCTGCTATCCCTCTCTTCACAAAATATTTGGATGAAAGACATGAACAACTGGACAATTTGGGTTGTAACAATCAATTTAGATTATAAACACATAGTTTTATAATTATTATGAGCCTCAATATATAAAAACACATTCATACTTGTATTTATTTTCTTTTTTGATGATAATATAACAATAATAAATATAATTGATCAGCACTTGTAATAAAACAAATATACTTTACGAGGTTAGTGAAAGCTTCAAAATGTGGAGGAGGATCTTGAAGTGGATCTGCTGCAAACAAATGCTTAATTTAAAGTAGCAGATTCCTTCACCGTCTCTTTGCAGACCCATGTTTTTCCACAAGACCGTGAGGACATGGAGACATAAGACTTCAGCAGCGCTGTGACCGTCCAATCAGAGACCTGATTCAGCGGCGGCATAAATTGAGCTTCTCAGGGGTGACAGCGGTGACAGCCACTCATACAAGAAAAAGCAGAGGGCCAATCAGGAGCTTGTGGGCTGTCTAAATTCAGGGAAGGGCTTCAGATTAAGTTGCAGTTTTCTGCTTGGTCCTAGTGCTCCCAACGCTCCTAATGCTTGACATAACATTGTTTTTTGGATAGTAAGAAATGCAGGTGTTAGGACTCCAGTCTGTGTGGTCTGTGTTTCTGTGTGTTTTTCTTCTTTACTCCACCAGGCGGCGCTTGGTTCTGATTCTCCTCCTCACACACCTTCAGATGGTTGCCTCATTAAGGTAGTGCTCTTAAGCTGCTGACTGCCACTACCTCAATGCCAGAATGTTTGCCAGTTTTGGGTTCTCTAGCCAAGCTGAGTTTTACTGAGTCAAACTGAGTCTTAACACTGTTTTTTTGTCTTTGCATCTCGGCAGGAAGTCATCCTGCAAACTGGATTTTTCGGACCTTCTCGTGAGTCTGCCAACCTTGCCAACCTTTCCTCCTCTACAAGTTCGAGAATCAATTCTCCCACTGAACCTGAATTAACCGCAGTGTCTTCCCCTCACCTTTCAGTTCCGGTTGAGCAGTGTTCAGAGCAACACTGGAACCTCCACAAAACTTCTCAATAAACCTGTTAAACTTTTTCCCTTGTCTCTCTGGTCTGGTTTATCTGCATGTGGGTCCGAGCTCTTGATAAAATCATGACAGCAGGGGACCAAAACTGACTTTTGAAAAAGTGCAGGGGACATGTCCCCCAATATCTTATTTAATCAGATATTATTTCGGCTGTTATAATTTGTTTATGACACACAGCCCTACTAACTGTGTGTTAGAACAATAAATGAAAGAGTGGTTCGAGCACTAATCATGGTCAAACAGTTAATTCTGCACATACATGGAATAAATTCACCACAACTTTTGTTGTGTTGAAAATATAAGAGTTTATTAACAAAAATCATTCAGCTCCAAGTCAAACAGATTTCAGTTTAACACTCTTAACTAAGACTAGTGAAAGCCAACTAAACTAAACTACTATGTACAAATAGGAAGGGAAACATGGTTGAAAACCAGATTACAGTTTAAGATGGATTTTTAGATTGAAAACCAGAGTTTATCTGGAAGAATTTGGAATATGATCAAATTAGCTTTTCACTAATTTAGAAAAATTGAAATGTTTTCAGACCAATTCACAATGCAAATCCATGAGGTGAATAAACCATTATTTGGCCAAATAATATTTTTTTAATGATTTGCTTAATAAAGAACCAATAACCTTTAGTTAATGATTGTTTACCCTAACACTAATGTTATATCAGTGTTTAAACCCTTAGTGAATAAAGCTTGTCCAAGCTTCAGCAACAGCTCAACACATATTCCTGTATCATAGCGTAGCATGCAGTCCATTCTGTTAGCATTGCTTTTACTCATCAGTAAACACATGAAATGATTAACATCATCAAAAGACATATTGTTTGTTCTGTCCCTAATTATGCCAGACCTGCAAACCTTTTCATCCATGTCCATTGGAAGGCTTGAGTTTCATCCAGCTGCAACTCAGCAGTCAGGGCAGCAACAACCAGGGGTCCTCTTTGTCTCAGTGGCTCATCAAAGCAGGCCTCTCATCCAGTCTGGATCTATAAGTTCTGAGGCCCCGTCCACACGAAG